TCTTCGGATATATCCTCATGATCGCCAAAATCCACGTTCTCGGGGTAGAGGTACCGAAGCATCCAATTTTCCCAGCGCATAGTCCACGAATGGTTTCCAAATTTTCCAGAAAATTATCTTCTTTATAAGTCACCATTTCTAATTTTAATATCGCATGTCATTTTATCGTTTAAAGCTAATTTCCACATTTCACAATACCGTTCTTCTATTCTAAAATTCACATCTAATTTCCAATATCTGGCTATTATAATTCTACCCGTTATAATCATAATTCTAATCAATTCTTTCTCATATCTTTCCAGAGCCTCCACATCTTTTTTACATCGTGGCGACCAAAACTGGATGCAGGATTTCCAAGTGTGGCCTTACCAAGGCATTATAAAGTGGTATTAACACTTCATGTGATCCTGGTCCTTTGTTCCTAATCCTTCTCTTCTTTTAAACTAGATATGCTCCTTTCCCTGCAAAAGTTCATTGCACGTTTTACCCTCCAGCCCCTCTAATCATCTTCGTTGCTCTTTCTCTGTACGCTTTCCAAGATGTCCAGCATTTTTGCAGTGAAGTCTGTCTTGGAGAACCCTTCCAAAAAGTCTCTCTCTTTTTATTTACGGCCTGTCCCCACTGCACACGTCCCTCTGCCCCTCCAGAAATTGGCATGCCTTGGATGTCAGTCTGCTGGGCTTTTCTGCCCCACGCCTCAATTTTATGTCTCTCTCTGACGTTTACCCACATCCAACCAATCGGAAGTAGATGCTTCTCCTCTGTAGATCCATGGAAACACTGCGGCGTGGAAGAATCGGAGGCTCCGAGGAAGGGTAGAGGAGGCAAAGCTGCAAGCGTCCTGTATTGCAGCTTTAAAAAAAATTAATAATAATAGGAAAGGAAAGGAAAGCTTGGGCATCCTGTGCACGGAGAGGGAGGGAAGGAGGGAGGGAGGGAGGGGGGCATTGGCAAACTTTCCCAGGTGGCTTCCCACAAGCAAAGTCAACGAGGGAAGCTTAAGGACGGAGGTTTTGTTACCTAACTAGATAGGTAAAAGCATCACTGCCAGGAGGGATTGGGGTTTGCTGTTTATGTACTACTGGCTTGCTCTCTCACCAACACTGACAGGGCAAGCGATGTGTATATAAACAGAGAGCAAGCCCCACTCTCTTCCAGCACTGATGCTCTTACGTAGTTGGGTAATGAAATGTCTCCAAAAAAAATGGCTGTTAGAGAGCACCAGGGATCCCACAGCCCTCCTCCTCTTCCTCGTCCCCTTCCTCTCCTCCTCCACTTCCTCCGCTTCTTCCTCCCCCTCCCTCTCCTCCTCCACTTCCTTCTTCTCTGCTTCCTCCTGCTCCTCTTCCCCCTCTTCCCCTCCCTCTTCTCCTCCTCTTCCTCTCTGCTTCTTCCTCCCCTCCCTTTCCTCCTCCTCTTCCTTGTCCTCTGCTTCCTCCTCCTCCTCTGCCTCTGCTTCCTCCCCCTCTGTCTTCTCCTCTTCCTCCTTTGCTTCTTCCTCCCCCCATCCTCCCCTCCTCTTCCTCCTCCCCTCCCTCTCTTCCTCTTCCTCCACTTCCTCCTCTCTCACCTCTTCTTCTTCCTTCTCTTCTTTCTCCTCTTCCTCCTCTCCTCCTCCTCTTCTGCCTCCTCACCTCCCTCTCCTCCTCCTCCTCTTCCCCTCCCTCCTCCTCTTCTTCTTCCTCCTTCTCTTTTCTCCTCTTCGTTCTCCCCTCCCTCTTCTCCTCCTCTTCCTCCTCTGCTTCTTCCTCCCCTCCCTCTCCTCCTCCTCTTCCTCCTCTGCTTCTTCCTCCCCTCCCTCTCCTCCTCCTCTTCCTTGTCCTCTGCTTCCTCCCCCTCCGTCTTCTCCTCTTCCTCCTCTGCTTCTTCCTCCCCTCCCTATCCTCCCCTCCTCTTCCTCCTACCCTCCCTCTTTTCCTCCTCTTCCTCCTCTCCCAGCTCCTTCCTCCTCCTCTTCTTCCTCCTCTTCCTCCTTTCCTCCTCCTCTTCTGCCTCCTCCCCTCCCTCTCCTCCTCTCTTCCGCCTTCTCTTCGTTCTCCCCTCCCTCTTTTCCTCCTCTTCCTCCTCTCCCAGCTCCTCTTCTTCCTCCTCCTCTTCTTCCTCCTCTTCCTCCTTTCCTCCTCCTCTTCTGCCTCCTCCCCTCCCTCTCCTCCTCCTCTTCCTTGTTCTCTGCTTCTTCCTCCTCCTCTTCCTCCTCTTCCTCCCTCTCTCTCTTCTTCCTCCTCTGCTTCTTCCTCCCCTCCCTATCCTCCCCTACTCTTCCTCCTCCCCTCTCTCTCCTCCTCTTCCTCCTCCTCCTCCTCTCCCACCTCTTCTTCCTCCTCCTCCTCTTCTTCCTCCTCTGCCTCCTCCCCTCCCTCTCCTCCTCCTCCCCTCCTCCCCTCCCTCCTCCTCTTCCTCTTCCTCCTTCTCTTCTTTCTCCTCTTCATTCTCCTCTCCTCCCCCTCCCCCTCCCCCTCCTCTTCCTCCTTCTCCTCTTCCTCCTCCTCCCCTCCCTCTCCTCCTCCCCCTCCTTCCTCCTCTCCGCAAACCCCACTCCCTTCTAGCACCTTTGATGTTACTTTACTCGAGTAATGAAATGTCTGTGAGAAAGCTGCCCAGCTCAAAAAACACTCCGGGAGCCCACATAACAGGTTTATTTTCCTGTCTTGGCTCTCAGGAGTTTTCTCCAGCACCACTTCTACAAAGCAGGTCATAACAAGCCGGAATCCGCTGCTCAGTTTCAAGCAGAGACCGTAATTTATGATTTTAGGTAATCCTTTCAGGTTTTAGCAAAGGAGCAGAAGCTGGATCGTGCTCGGGTTTTTAGAATATCTGCAGCGAACCTAGAGCAAAGGGAGTGTGAGCTGGCTGTTGGCTGGGGGTGCAGACCTGCTATCAGTGGGTACGAGCTTGAGTATAAAATACAGATGGTCCTCGACTTATGACCACAGCGGAGCTCAACATTTCCATCCCGCAGTTGTTAAGTGAGTTTTCCCCCATTTTACGACCTTAAGTGAATCACTGCAGTTGTTAAATAAGTGAATCTGGTTTCCCCATCGACTTTTGCTTGTCAAGAAGGTCGCAAAAGCAGATCACGGGACCCCACCAACCGTCATAAGTATGAACCAGTTGCTAAGCATCTGAATTTTGATCACAGGGATACAACGGCTATAAGTGTGAAAAACGATGGTACCTCGCTTTTTTCAGCCACGTTGTAACTTTGAAGGGTCACTAAATGAATATTTGTAAGTCAAGGACTTCTAGGACTACTAGAAGCACCTTTTTTTTGAATTGCAGGTTTTATTAAAAGGCATAAGCTTCCAGGAGCCGCAGCTCACTTTATCCAAAGCTCCTTTTATTGAAGGGCTTCTGCCATTTAATGAAACTTATATGTCAGAAAAAGGGCCAGCAAATTCCTTCTAATATTTAGGGAATCAGCGTGGCTAAAGACAGGTGAAAATGCAATAGGTTGTACCCACCCCATGGTTATATGAGGAACCACCAACTAACAGAGTAATAGAATCACAGAATAAAAGAGTTGGAAGGGACCTTGGAGGTCATCTAGTCCAACCCCCTGCTCACGTAGGAGACCCTACACCTGTTGTGGCCCGTCAGCAGCCTCTGCAGCTAGTAGCTGATTCCGACAGCGAGGAGGCTGGTGCGGTGCTGCGCCAGCAGCCTGTGCAGCTGGCACTCGAGTCGGACAGTGAGGAGGCTGGAGAAGATGCGGTGCCAGAGGCGGGGATTCAGCCAGGGCCTTCAGAACCTCCAGAAGCTCCTTCAAGTGAAGAGGAAGAAGAGGAGGAGCCTCTTCTCGATGCACGGGCGCGCAGAGCTGCCAAAAGGCAGAAGTGGCTCCTTAGGAGAAGGTCTCCTCGAGAGTAAGGCTTGGGGCTAATTGGCCACTCCCTTAGCCTATTTAAGGAGGAACACCGACTGAAGCAATTTGCAGGGAACAACTTCATTCACATACCTTTGTGTCTTGCCTTGCTTATCTTATCAGCTTCCTGCAAATTGCTTCTGGGCATTCTGCCAACCATAATAAGTTTTCAGTTATTATTCTTTGAATTCTTGGTGGCTGTTAATGCAATTAATTAACAGCCATTGTTGTAAAAACCTGGTTTATTTAGTAAACTAAAGTTTGAACAGACTTTGTGCGTGCTGCGTTCTTTGGGGTCCATAGCTGGGGCAAAAAACAATCCCAGTGATGGCTAACCATTTTGCCATTGCATGCCAAAACCAGGGGGAGGGGTTGTGTCACACACGCGCGTGCCCACACCCATAATTCTATGCACCCCACCCCCTGCACATGCGTGCGTGGGCCCCCCGTACTCCTCCTGCTTTTGGCATGTGATGGCACGGTGGGCACGGTGGGCCCGTTTTTCACCCTCCCCAGGCTCCAGAGCCTTTCTAGGAGCCTGAGGAGAGCGAAAACAGCCTTCCCCATCCATGGGAGGCCCTCTGGAGGCCGGAAATGGACTGTTTGCGGATTTCCGGTCCCAGTGGAAGTTGGCAAATGGGCCGTTTCCAGCGTCTGGAGGGCCTCCGGGGGTGGGTGGGGAAGGCTGTTTTCTCCCACCCCAAGCTCCTAGAAAGGCTCTGGAGCCTGGGGAGAGCAAAAAAATAGGCCTTCCTTACCCCTCCCTCCCCACGCCCTCCAGAGGCAGGAAACAGTCCTGGCTCATAACTTCAGTGGTGGTTTACTAAGACACTGAGATTCCTTGCACAATTACCCCCCCCCCCCTCTCTCTCTCTTTTTCTGGAAAGTCTTTGCAAAACTCTGTTGGGGGTTAATCGGCCATTTATGGAGAATCTTTCTTTATTTTGCCACCGTATTCTTCCCCACAATGTAACACAACCCAAAACGCACCAGACTTCGTGTCAAATCAGTTTCCTGTTCTGAGTTCCCTTTTGTGGAGAATCTGTAGCCAGACACTACTCAGAAGCAACTGATTGTGTGGGTGACAATCCAGTCCGGTTTATGCCATAATCGAGGAGACCCCGAGACTTGTTGTCATTTTAACGAAACCGGCTTCTCCCATGGCTTGTGGTGTCTTCCTTTTTGGTCTGTTTTTCATTGTTCTTTCCAGTCTGTCTTCAGCAAGTAACGGAGGTGAGTGATCAAGCCGAAAGGTTTTAGACAGAAGTAACTGAGATAGTGAGTGAAAGAATAACAGCATAACAGTGTGGGAAGGGACCCCAGAGGTCTTCTAGTCCAACCCCCTGCTTGAAAGGAGAACTATACCATTCGAGACAAGTAGCTGTCCAGTCTCTTCTTAAAAGCCTCCAATGATGGAGCACCCCCAACTTCTGGTGGCAAGTCGTTCCACTGGTTAATTGTTCTCAGTGTCAGGAAATTTCTACTTAGTTCTAGGTTGCTTCTCTCCCTGATTAGTTTCCACCCATTGTTTCTTGCCTTGCCTTCAGGTGCTTTGGAAAATAGATTGAATTTGACCCCCTCTTCTTTGTGGGAGCCCCTCAAATATTGGAGCACTGCTATCTTGTCACTCCTAGTCCTTCTTTACACTAGATTAGACATGCCCAATTCCTGCAACCGTTCTTCGTAAGTTTTAACCTCCAGCTCCTTAATCATCCTTCTTGCTTTTTCTTCCTTCTCTTCTTCCAGCCTCAATAACAGTAACTGTAAGATGTTGGACTCAATGTTTCTGCTAATTAGTCACGGCCTCTCCTAGGATGCTCCTTGGATTTGCTACTCATTTGGGTTTCCAATTCATTTAAAAATAAGAACCGCATGGACGGCTGTTGCTGAGCTTGACGGGAGAGAGGTTGGGACTAAAGAGCAGAGCTCCTCCAAAAAATGCTCCATGCTCATTTTTCTTCTTGTTTCTATTTTTTCCTTTCTTACTTCCCCCCGGCCCTAGGATTCTATGGTTTAACTGGGTTCCTCTTTCTCAGGTATTAAGGCCAAAGATCCAGAGCTCTCGCAACCCCAGAGGTCTGTTTCGGTCGTAATAGGGGAAGTTCTCCACCTGGAGTGTGAAGTGAGTAACAACCTCATACCTGGTGGTGTGAAATGGTTCTTGGGAGAAGGACGTCAGCGGAAGCTCATCTACACAGATGCCGCGACTGATGAAAAAGATGAAAGAATAACCAGGAATTCTCCAGGTTCCAACACGGATTTCTCCATCTCCATCCGCAACGTTACTCTGGAAGACACGGGGACTTATTACTGTGTGAAGGAGAAGAAAGGGGTGCATGGAACTACAGATTGGCTTAAAGGACATGGACTGAGGTGGTTGTAAAAGGTGAGTGTGAACAAGCTGTGCGTGAAGTTTGTTTACTTGTCTTCTGGGTCTGGGGACCTGTGTGATAGTGCCGTGCCTGGTTCCAGATTTGGACCTGATACATCCCAAGTCCCTTGAGGCCTCCAGGAATAGAATAACAGAGTTGGAAGGGACCCTGGAGGTCTTCTAGTCCAACCCCCTGCCCGAGCAGGAGGCCTTCCAATGATGGAGCACCCACAACTTCTAGAGGAGTTCTACTGATTGATTGTTCTCACTGTCAGGAAATTTCTCCTTACTTCTATGTTGCTTCTCTCCTTGATGAGTTTCCACCCGTTGCTTCTTGTCCTGCCCTCAGGTGCTTTGGAGAATAGCTAGACTCCCTCTTCTTTGTGGCAGCCCTTCAAATATTGGATGACAGCTCTCTATCGTGTCACCTCTAGTCCTTCTCTTCGTTAGGTCAAGCGATCATCGTATGTTTTAGCCTCCAGGCCCCTCATCGTCTTTGTGGCTCTTCTCTGGACTCTTTCAATTTGTTACAGAAGGCAAAATAACAGAATTGGGAGGGACCTTGGAGTTCCAATATCCTGCTCAAGAGTAATTGAGCAGAGTAATAGCTGTCCAGTCTCTTCTTAATAGCCTCCAGTGATGGAGCATCCACAACTTCTGGAGGCAAGTTGTTCCACTGACTAATTGTCCTCACTGTCAGGAACTTTCTCCTTAGTTCTAGGTTGCTTTATTTATTTATTTATTTATTTGTTTAAATTTCTATACCGCCCTTCTCCAATGTAGGACTCAGGGCGGTGAACAGCCAAAGTAAAAACAAGACATACATACAAAACAAACAAAATCTAAAAACTGTTTAAAATAATTAAATAATTTTGGCCGTAATTAAAACATTCCAATTTAAAATCCGTTTAAAATTTGACTCAAGCCAGCCCAGCTAGTTGAAATAAATGGGTTTTTTAGGGCCCGACGAAAAATCCGGAGGTCTGTTATTGTACGTAGCTCTGGGGGGAGGTTGTTCCAGAGGGCGGGCGCCGCCACAGAGAAGGCTCTCCCCCTGGGGGTCGCCAGCCGACATTGTCTGGCGGACGGCACCCTGAGGAGGCCCACTCTGTGGGAGCGTACTGGCCGGTGGGAGGCTATTGGTGGCAGAAGGTGGTCTCGTAAGTACCCCGGCCCTAAGCCATGGAGCGCTTTAAAGGTGGTCACCAACACCTTGAAGCGCACCCGGAAGACCACCGGGAGCCAGTGCAGCTCGCGCAGGAGAGGTGTCACGTGGAGCGCCTCGTCGCCCCCAAAATCCCCCGCGCGGCCGCGTTCTGGACCAGCTGGAGCCTCCGGGTGCACCCCAGGGGGAGCCCCATGTAGAGAGCGTTGCAGTAGTCCAGGTGGGAAATGACGAGTGCCTGAGTGACTGTGCGTAGGGAGTCCCGATCTAGAAAGGGCGCAACTGGCGTATCAGGCGGACCTGATAAAAAGCCCCCCTGGCCACGGCCGCCAAATGATCTTCTAACGACAGCCGTGCGTCCAGGAGGACGCCCAAGTTACAAGCCCTCTCCGTGGGGGCGAGTGATTCGCCCCCAATAGCCAGCGATGGCATCAGCTGGCTATATCGGGACGCCGGAAGCCACAGCTTCTCTCCTTGATTAGTTTCCATCCGTTGCTTCTTGTTGTGTGGCCTCCACCATCTTGGTACTCTTCTGCAGGTATCTCCAAGGGATGGTTGTAACCAGAGGCAGGTTCCAAATCCCATCACTACCAGTTCACTCATGGGGGCACATACATGTCCAAGCGGGTGGGCGGAGCCTCCCACCGCTGCTACCAGTTTGCCCAGTTTGGTGCGAACTGGTAGCAACCCACCACTGGTTGTAACCCTTCAAGGACAATATGTAAACATGGAAACTTCTAAAGAGAAATTTTCTCCACCTGGAGTGTGAAGTGTCTGACAACCTCACACCTGGTCCCGTGAAATGGTTCTTGGGAGAAGGTTCTCAACAGGAACTCAACTACCAAGCCTTCCAGGCTGATGAAAGAATAACAAGACATTATCCAAATCCCAACACGGATTTCACTATCTCCACCCGTAATGTTACTCTGGAAGACGCGGGGACTTATTACTGTGTGAAGGAGAAGCGTGAGTTCTGGGGAAGTACGGATGGGCTTAAAGGACCAGGGACTCTGGTGGTTGTAGAAGGTCAGTGTGAATAAACAGTGGGAAAAAACGAAAGGAGAGGAACAAAAAAGAGGAAATAAAAATATAGAAGGCGCAGTTAAGAAAAAAAAAAAACATTGGAAGAAATCCAAGAAGCGTCATTCCTTTCAGGTCCACATCAGACCAAGCTGGATCTATGGTAGCTTCTGTAGAAGGAAATCTTTGTCGTTCAAGGTTGAACTGTGGAGTCTTCGGTGTTTCATTGACCTACTAGGAAACCTTATCAGTAGGAGTCCTACTGATGATGTTACATAGTTGGGTATTGAAACATCTGAAAACCAATAGCCAAGCTCAGAGACCACCATGTCTTTCTCCTCTTCCTCCTCCCCTTCTCCTCCTCCTTTTCCACCTCTTTCTCCCACTTCCCTTCCTCCTCTACCTCCCTCTCCCGCTCCTCTTCCTCCTCCCCTTTCACCTCCTTCTTTTCCTCCTCCTCTTCCTCCTCCTCCTCCTCCTCCCTCTCCCTCCCCTCCCCTTCTTCTTCTCCTCCTCCTTTTTCCTCCTCCTCCTCTTCCTCTTTCTCACCTTCCTTCTCCTCTTCCTCTCTCTCCCTCCCCTCCCCCGCCCCTTCTTCTTCTTCCCTCCTCTTTTCCCCTCCTCCTTTCTCCTCCTCCTCCTCTTCCTTTTCCACCTTCTCACCTTCCTCCTCCTCTTCCTCCCTCTCCCTCTCCCTCTCCCTCTCCCTCTCCCTCTCCCCCTCCCCATTCTTCCTCTTCCCCTCCCCTTTTACCTCCTCCTTCTTCCTCCTCCTTTCTCCTCCTCCTCCTCTTCCTCTTTCTCACCTTCCTCCTCCTCTTCCTCCCTCTCCATCTCCCCTCCCCTCCCTCTTCTTCTTCCCCTCCTCTTTTCCCCTCCTCCTTTCTCCTCCTCCTCCTCTTCCTCTTTCTCACCTTCCTCCTCCTCTTCCTCTCTCTCCGTCTCCCCTCCCCCTCCCCTTCTTCTTCTTCCTCTTCCCCTCCCCTTTTATCTCTCCTTTCTCCTCCTCCTCTTCCTCACCTTCCTCCTCCTCTTCCTCCCTTTCCAACTCTCCCTCCTCCTCTCCCTCCCGTCCCCTTCTTCTTCTTCCCCTCCTCTTTCCCCCCCCCTCCTCCTCCTCTTCCTCCTCCTCCACCACCACCATCATTTTGCATTTTACTACTTCTCCCTGATCACCTGGACCTGCAAGGGTTAACTGACCACATATCCCATAACCCCTGTAGCCACTCCTTACCTCTTTGCCCCTCCTCCTGGGTATAAAGGCTCCAACCACATGGTCCACAGTTTATTCCAGATGTATACCTGAAAGAGAAAGGTACAAGGTCAGTGACCTCCAGTACCATTAAATCTATAATAAAGTTACAGAAAAGAATCGAAGTCTGTCTTTGAGTTATTGGGCTAGATCCAGCTTTTAACAATAATTTTTTTAAAAAAAATCAGGACTTTTCCAGCAGTAGAGGGCGCTCAAAGCCTTGTGTATAATCCTCTGCGCTTAGCGCTGGAAGCGTTGATAGACATCCCACTCACCCACTTCGCGTGGTCTGTTATGGCTGCTCCCCTCTGGGAGGAGGCTTCGGAGTATCTCTAGCAGGACTTCCAGAATCTGCAACAGCTTTGATCCCTAGGCCATCCACCTGGTAAACTCACCAGATTCGTTTCTCTCGCCATGGACATGCACGCATCCAGACTAGACTGTGGTGTTTCTCCGCGTCATATAAGATATGTGGGTATATGCAAAAAATTTTTTATTCATTTCATTTCATTATTTATTTTATTTTATTATCTATTTTGTCATCTTTATGTTGTGCATATTAGAGGTGGAGACCCTTTGACAGCTGTTTGCAACAAAATTTCATTTTAATGTATGCCGATTATTGTCTCTATTCTACTCTACTCTACTCTATTCTATTCTATTCTATTCTATTCTATTCTATTCTATTCTATTCTATTCCCTACTCTACTCTATTCTCTACTCTACTCTACTTTCTACTCTACTGTACTCTACTCTACCCTATTCTATTCTACTCTACTCTACTCTATTCCCTATTCTACTCCACTCCACTCCACCCCACCCCATCTTTCTATTCTATTCTATTCTATTCTATTCTATTCTATTCTATTCTATTCTATTCTATTCTATTCTATTCCTACTCTACTCTACTCTGTTCTCTATTCTACTCTCTACTCTACTCTACTCTACTCTACTCTACCCTACTCTTTACTCTACTCTATTCCCTATTCTACTCTACTCCACCCCACCCCATCTTTCTATTCTATTCTATTCTATTCTATTCTATTCTATTCTATTCTATTCTATTCTATTCTATTCTATTCTATTCTATTCCCTACTCTACTCTACTCTATTCTCTACTCTACTCTCTACTCTACTCTACTCTACTCTACTCTACCCTACTCTCTACTCTACTCTACTCTATTCCCTATTCTACTCTACTCCACCCCACTCCACCCCACCCCATCTTTCTATTCTATTCTATTCTATTCTATTCTATTCTATTCTATTCTATTCTATTCTATTCTATTCTATTCTATTCTATTCTATTCTATTCTATTCTATTCTATTCTATTTCCTACTCTACTCTACTCTACTCTACTCTATTCTCTACTCTGCTCTACTCTATTCTCTACTCTACTCCACTCCACTCCACTCCACTCCACCCCACCCCACCCATTCTATTCTATTCTATTCTATTCTATTCTATTCTATTCTATTCTATTCTATTCTATTCTATTCTATTCTTTTCTTTTCTTTTCTTTTCTTTTCTTTTCTATTTCTATTTCTATTTCTATTTCTATTTCTATTTCTATTTCTATTCCATTCCATTCCATTCCACTCTGGCTTATTACAAATAAATCAAAACCAACCTCTTGTCTTTTCTCCACAGGTTTACGGGGACAATCCATCTATGTTCTCTATTTGGGGCTTTTCCTGAACAAAGTGGCAGCAGCTCTCTTGCTCTTTGGCTTTTTCCAAATAAAGCAACACAGATGCTGCCTTGCAAGATATTTGGCTAAACGTAGCCCCGTTTAAGGCAGGACTAGAACTCACAGGCTCCTCGTTTCTGGCCTGGTGCCTTAACCAGCAAACTGGCTCCCTCTATCGGTAAAGTAAGGACAAAAAAAAGAAGAAAAAAGAAAAAGAAAAAAGAAAGAAAGAAAACAGGAAGGCAGGAAAAGAAAAAACGTTGAAGAAAAAGGAAAAAGAAAATCAGTTATAATGAAGTGGTTCCTGATATTCTTCTCAGCAGTTATAAGTACAGGTGGTCCTCGACTTACGACCACAACTGAGCCCCAAATTTATGTCTCTAAGCCAGAAATTTGTTAGGTGAGCTTTGCCCCATTTTACGACCTTTCTTGCCACACCGTCGTTAAGTGAATCACTGAAGTTCATAAATTAGCAACATGGTCATTCAGTGAATCTGGCTGCTCCCATTGACTTTGCTTGTCAGAAGGTCGCAAAAGGGGATCACGTGACACCCCCCCTCCCCCAGGACGCTACAACCGTCATAACTGTGAATCAGTTGCCAAGCGTCTGAATTTTGATCACGTGACCCTGGAGATGCTGCAACGGTCGTAATTGTGTGAAAAATGGTCATAAATCAGTGCCGTTGTAAGTTGAGAAGCTCACTAAATGAACTGTTGTAAGTTGAGAACTGCCTGTAGAAATATATTTGTACATATAGAAAAACAAAAACCCAAAAAATACATACAGAAAAATTTCCTTTTATCTTATTTATTTATTTATTTATTTATTTATTTATTTATTGATTGATTGATTGATTGATTGATTGATTGATTTGATTTATATGCCGCCCTTCTCCGGAGACTCAGGGCGGCTTACAATGCGCTAAGCAATAGCCTTCATCCTTTTTGTATATTTATACAAAGTCAGCTTATTGCCCCCACAATCTGGGTCCTCAATTTACCTACCTTAGAAAGGATGGAAGGCTGAGTCAACCTTGAGCCTTGGCGAGATTCGAACCTGCAGTAATTGCAGGCAGCTGGTCTTAATAACAGGGTGCTTTAGACCACTGTACTACCAAGGCTCTTTCATGTACTTTATATGCCGCCCTTCTCCAGAAGGACTCAGGACGGTGAACGCAAGTTAAAATACATGTACAACAAAATCCCACTTTAAACCAAATTAACTAATAAATAATAAAACCCAGAATCAGTCTCAGCCTATTTGCTTGAACAGCCAAGTCTTCAGGTCCCGACGGAAGGAGCGGAGATCAGGAGCCGTCCGGAGCTCAGTAGGCAACTCATTCCAGAGGGTGGGAGTACCCACAGAGAACGCCCTACCCCTGGGCACAGCAAGGCGACATTGGCTCACCGTAGGAACCCTGAAGAGAGCGGCCCTATGTGAGCGAACAGGACGGTGAGAGGCAGGCAAGAGAAGGTCCTGCAAATATCCCGGACCTAAACTGGCGGCCCCCAGGGGGAGAGCCTTCTCTGTGGGGGCACCCGCCCTGTGGAATGAGCTACCTCCTGGAATACGACTGATCCCGGACCTCCGCGCTTTCCGAAAGGCCCTGAAGACTTATTTATTCCAACAAGCTGGCCTAGCTTAAAATGGTTTTAATGGGGTTTGTAAATTTTCGATTTTATTGATTCTGGGTTTTAAATTGGGAACTTTTCGATTTTGCAGAGAGCTGGGATTTTAAATTGGAAATGCCGACGATTTAATTCATTTTAGTTTTTTCTTAACTTTTGTACTATATGTGTTTTAAGTTTAAGTCCACCGCCCTGAGTCCCCCTGGGGAGAATTAATTAAGTTGAATGAATGAATGAATGAATGAATGAATGAATGAATGAATAAATAAATAAATAAATGTAGGGCCTTATAGGTGAGAACCAGCACCTTGAAACGGACCTGGAGAACCACTGGTAACCAGTGCAGCTCACGCAGGAGAGGTGTTATATGGGAGTAACGAGGGGCTCCCGTAACAACTCGTGCGGCTGCATTCTGGATCAGCTGGAGTCTCTGGGTGCATCTCAGGGGCAGGCCCATGTAGAGGGAATTGCTGTAATCCAAGCGGGAAGTAACCAGGGCATGAGTGACTATGCGAAGGTCATCTCGGTCCAGGAAAAGGCGCAACTGACGCACCAGGCGAACCTGTGCGAAGGCCCCCCTGGTCACGGCTGTCAGGTGGTCTTCTAGAGACAGCCGAGAATCCAGGAGGACACCCAAGTTGCGAGCCCTATCAACGGGGGCAAGTTTTTCCCCACCCATCAAAAGTGTTGGGGTCTCTGAAACCCGAGATGCCGGCATCCACAGCCACTCGGTCTTGGAGGGGTTGAGTCTGAGTCTGTTTCTACCCATCCAGGCCCGTACCGCCTCCAGGCAACGGGACATCACGGAAAGGGCATCTCTGGGGTGGTCTGATTAAAGAGCAGGGGGGAGAGAACCGACCCCTGAGGCACCCCACAATTTAGGGGCCTCGGGGTGGACCTCTGCCCCCCCCGTAGGAGGAGAACTACGGTGGGTACAGGTAGTCCACGACTTACGACCACAATTGAACCCACAATTTCTTGTCGCTAAGCGAAACCGTTAAGTGAATTTTACCCCCTTTTCTGACCTTTCTTGCCACCGTTGTTAAGTGAATCACCGCAGCGATTAAGTTAGCCACACAGTTGTTAAGCGAATAATATCTGGCTTCCCCATTGACTTTGCTCGTCAGAAGGTCGCAAAAGAGGATCGCGTGGCCCGGGGACACTGCAACCATCATAAATATGAAGCCGTTGCCAAGCATCTGAATTTTGATCAGATGACGATGGGGATGTAGTCCAAACTAAATTAAAGCAAAGTCTTCAAAACACCATTCACCATTCCTCAGTTTATCACCGACCTTGGGATAATTAGGCAAGATGCCAAAGGCTTTTCTTGGCAAAAGTTCAGAAGCAGAAGATGCCGACAAAAGAAATTAATACAGTGAAACAAGAAGCAAATCTCTCAACGTTGTTTTCCGGCAAAGAGGCCAAGAGCCATTGCTGGTCTGTTTTAAGCCTTATGGGAGGGGTCAATCATCTCTTGGCCTTACTCCTGAGTCGTCCTCTCTGCTTTATCTGCTCCTGCCTTCTGGCAGCTCTTCTCATACGTGCACTAGGAATAGGCTCCTCCTGTTCCTCTGCCTCTCTACTGTCAGCCTCTGGAGCAGTGGTGGGTTCCTCCCGGTTCAGTCCGGTTCGGCCGAGCCGGTAGCGGTGACGATATGACGTCACCGAACCGGTTCTCCCCCCCCGCCCTCCCACCCCCCACCCCCCTACATTATTCTTACCTTTTATTTGGTCCCACCCCCAATCTATTGCTGCCTCCTGAGTCCCAGCTGATGACTAGAACTGTTTAAACTCTTGCTGCGGGGCTTCAAAGGGCCGTCCTACAGCTGATCAGTGTTAAAAGCAAACAAATGAGTCAGGTCGTAAGTGCAAGGACTGGTCGTAAGTGCGAGGACCTTCCAGAAATGACTCTGACCAGCTAGCCACGCCCACCTAGTCACATGACCTCCAAGCCACACCCACAAAATAAGCCACGCCCACAGAACCGGTAGTAAAAAAATTTAGAACCCATCCCTGCTCTGGAGGCTCCGAAGTCCGCACATCACTCCCAGATGGCCCTGGCCCCATCTCTGCCTCCGACGCAGAGCCCCTCATTGGGGCCTTTCCCAGCCTCTAGGACTGGCCCATGTTCTTCCTCAGCCTCATCGCTGTCCGACTCCACTGCCAGTTCCGCAGGCTGACTAAATTTGAAGAATGGAAGCAGAACAAGAAGCCTGCTTTAAGAATTCCCATGAATTTTTAGGACGTGGGTTATTTTGGCATGCCGTTGTGTTCTGTGGGAGCATATCTGGATCAGTGGTGGTATTCAGCCGGTTCGGGAAAAACGGTAGTGGCAACCTGACCCGCCCCGGTGATATTGCCATCCTATTTAGCCAGGTTTTCTAAGCCGCGTGCATGCATGCAAGCCACACATGTGAGCAAAACACATACGCGGAAGGCTGGGTGCATGTGCGGAAGGCGAGAGAGAGAGAGAGCGAAGCGTGTGTGTGCGTGTGCACGCTCATTTTTTCAGTGCACGGTGAACCAGCGGTAAAAGGTCCCAAAATGTACTTGAGTCACCAGAATGCCAAGAGAGTGTGATTCAAGACGAGTCTTGCAAAAGGAAGCAGATTTTATTTATGGCCAAAACCAAAATACTGGGTGGGACAATATCCAGAACATACAGATACAATGCATGTGAGGAGATAGCCACACCTTGGGGAAGGTATGGCATCCTTTTATACCTTCAGAGGCATTAGCTTATTTTATTTTATTTTATTTCCAATTTACATACCGCCCTTCTCCCTGAGGACTCAGGGCGGTGTACAGCCAGAATTAAGAACATGAAATACAAATATTAAAAAACAATTAAAATATATATAAATTTGGCCCAAAAATTAAAAATCACAAACCCAATTTAAAACTTTTAAAAATTTCTTCTTAAGCCAGCCCAGCTTGCTGGAAAAAGTGGGTTTTAAGGGCACGGCGGAAGGCACGGAGGTCATGGATTCTCCTTATCTCAGGGGGCAGTTGGTTCCAGAGGGTGGGAGCCCCCACAGAGAAGGCCCTCCCCCTGGGGGTCACCAGCCTACATTGTTTGGCTGATGGCACCCTGAGGAGGCCCTCTCTGTGGGAGCGCACGGGTCGATGGGAGGTCGTCGGTAGCAGCAGGCGGTCTCGAAGATAGCTAGGCCCGATGCCATGGAGCGCTTTAAAGGTGATGACCAACACCTTGAAGCTTAATACCCAGTTCTGGCCTCCTCGCCCCTGCCTTCCCTGTAGCCCTGCATTGGCTGTACAGCAAGGAGCAGGGGCAGGGAAGGATAAGCGCCTAGCAACAGAGGAGCTGGGTGCGTAGCAATCCCGCTTCTTGAGATATCCACCAGGCACAGAGTGGTACAGAAAAACAGGATAACTGGATAACACAGGGGTGAGATCACTGGTAGAAGCAAACGGCAGAGGCAATTCTAATTCTTAGCAAAGCAATTCTTACAGAAGCAGAACAGCAAGTCCAACGAATTCTACTGACTCTACTATTATGTCCCACTAACTCTACCTGTTCTATTATTATTATTATGTCCCTTTAAAAACCAACCTCTGATCTGGATGGCCAGGACAGGTTAAAACAAACAAACAAACCAATATTCTCATGTACGGGCCTGAAAGTACGCGCTAATTTATTTATTTATTTATTTATTATTGAGATTTATATGCCGCCTTTCTCCCTGGGGACTCAAGGCGGCTTACAAAATGACAAATTCCAATACAAATCACAATGAAATAAAATTAAAATCAACAACCCTATTAAAACAGTTTAAAATTATGACAATGTACCCCCAAACAGATCAGTTGAATTGACGGAAGATTAATTAAGGACAAGAATACGGCTAGTCCTCAATTTACGACCACAATTGAGCCCAAAATTTCTGTTGCGGAGTGAAACATTCGTTAAGTGAATTTTGTCCTATTTTACGACCTTTCTTGCCACAGTTGTTAAGTGAATCACTGCAGTTCTTAAATGAGTCAAATTGTTGTTAAGTGAATCTGGCTTCCCCATTGGCTTTGCTTGTCAGAGGGTCACAAAAGGTGATCATGTGACACCTCCCCTCCTTCCCGGGACACTACAACGGTCATAACTATGAACCAGTTGCCAAGCATCTGAATTTTGATGACGTGGTCATGGAGATAGTGCAAAGTGTGAAAACCGGTCACAGATCACTTTTTTCCAGTGCCGTTGTAACTTTGAACAGTCACTAAACAAACTGTTGTAAGTCGAGGACTACCTGCATCAGAAGACGTTTTGAGGTTACTTGGAAACCACTTCTGGGCTTTCTGCGTGAAAGGGGGGGGGGAAGAAATTTTGATTTGGGTCTTTGCCAATTCAATGGATTCCTGCTATAAAAATAGCTAGTAGTTACGTTGAGACTATAATTTTATTACGTATCTTACTGCACCGGAAAAAAAAAGTCAGAGGGTACTGCTTTTTGTTTCTTTTTTAATTTTTCCTTCTTTCCATCACTTTATCTCCTCTATTATCCTCCTCCTTTCTTCCATTGTCTTGAATATTGCCAATTTAGAGATTATTTTCTTTTGTTCATTCCTCAGTAAACTAGTGATGGGATTCAGCCGGTTCGAGCCAGTTCGGGCGAACCGGTACTTAAATTGCTGGCTGGCCCCACCCTGCCTCTTCCCGCCCCGCCCCTTCCAGGAGTCCCACGCACACCATTTTGGCTCCCAGGTAAGTGCTGTTGTGGCCCGCCAGTGGGGAGCAGAGCTGGCAGCAGATTCGGACAGTGATGAGGCTGGGGAGGAACGTGGAGTCTGGGGAAGGCTCAGGCGAGGGCTCTGCGTCGGAGGCAGAGAGGGGGCCAAGGCCATCTGGGATCCTCCAGAGTCTGATATCGGCGAGGCAGAAGAACAGCGGGAGCCTGTTCCCAGTGCGCGCGTGCACAGAACTGCCAAAAGACAACAACAATTAAGAAAACAGGGTCAACTTGGGAGTAAGGCTTGGAGATGATTGGCCCCTCCCATAAGACATAAAAGAGGAGCAAACGGGACGTGAGCTTTTGCAGGAAGCAATTAATTCATCTGGTCAGTTAAAACTTTGGAAAGTTCTGTTTGACTCTGCTAAGTTTGGCCCTGTCCTGCGTTTGGCAATTAGTTTTCTGGCAGCATTCCAAGGGAGATAAGGTGGGTGTTTATAAACATTCCCCTGAAAGACGGTTTGAGAAGCCTTTCGGACAGGGAATGACAATAATTCACAACCATATGAATAAAAGAAGTTTGCCAGGACTAGGATTCTGCTGTATACTTTCTAAGGAAGCCTAGATCAGAACAAGTGCAGGGAGGCCTCTTAGGACCAAAATGGGGGCTGTTTTTGCTCCCAGGGGGGTGCAGGAGGCCTAGTGCTGCCTGTCACACCCCCGTGGCCACGCCCACCATGGCCACGCCCGCCCAGCTGGTCATTAGGGCAGAGAACCGGTTGTTAAATTATTTGAATCCCACCACTGAGCAGAATTTCTCTGACCTCATGAACGGGGTGCTGTCACTTTACGCAGATTTTCAAACTTGAGAAAATTGCTTTACAACTTTCCAAGGAGGAAGCGACAGTTCCTCTTTTGCTCCATCGGTGGAAGGACAGATCTGGCGAGACCAGACGCGAAGTCGCCCCAGATGTCTCTCCTGCTGCTATCGGCATGGCTGCCTTGAGGTCCTTCAAGAGAATCCCTGGTCTTTTCCAGCTGCTGTTGTTGCTGCTCCTGCGACTTCTTCCACGGGAACTGGGTGAGTGTTGGCATTTGAGATCAATAGACAATAGAATAACAGAGTTGGGACCTTGGAGGTCTTCTAGTCCAACCCCCAGCTCAACCACTTCAGACAAATGGTTATCCAACCTCTTCTTAAAAACTTCCAGTATTGGAGCATTCACAACTCCTGGTGGCAAGTTGTTCCACTGATTAATTGTTCTAACTGTCAGGAAATTCCTCCTTAATTCTAAGTTGCTTCTCTCCTTGATTAGTTTCCACCCATTGCTTCTTGTCCTGCCTTCAGGTGCTTTGGAGAATAGCTTGACTCCCTCTTCTTTGGGGCAACCCCTGAGATATTGGAAGACTGCTGTCATTTCCCCCCTAGTCCTTCTTTTCATAAGACTAGACATATCCAGTTCCTGCAACCGTTCTTCATATGTTTTAGCCTCCAGTCCCCTAATCATCTTTGTTGCTCTCCTCTGCACTCTTTAGACAATCAGTAACAGTAACAGTAACAGTAACAGTAACAGTAACAGAGTTGGAAGGGACTTTAGAGGTCATCTAGTCCAACCCCTTGCTCACACAGGAGACCTGTATTAGGGATTCGAACTGCTGAACCACCGACCTTTCTGATTGACAAGCTCAGTGTTTTAGCCACTTAGGCTTTCTAGAGTCTCAACATCTTTTTTGAGGCAGGTTCCATTCTCAGATTTTACAACTGGAGTAAACTCCAGCGCGACATGAATATTACGGTGGCTTCAAACCAGGGGTGGGTTCTAAATTTTTTTTACTACCGGTTCTGTGGGTGTGGCTTATTTTGTGGGTGTGGCTTGGAGGTCATGTGACTAGGTGGGTGTGACTAGCTGGTCAGAGTCATTTCTGGAAGGTCCTCACACTTACGACCAGTCCTCGCACTTACGACCTGACTCATTTGTTTGCTTTTAACACTGATCAGCTGTAGGGCGGCCCTTTGAGAGTTTAAACAGTTTTTTCCCCTCTAATCATCAGCTGGGACTCAGGAGGCAGCAATAGATTGGGGGTGGGACCAAATAAAAGGTAAGAATAACATGGGTGGGGGGGTGGGAGGGCGGGGGGGAGAACCGGTTCGGTCACGTCATATTGTCACCGCTACCGGCTCTGCCGAACCGGACCGGACCGGGAGGAACCCACCACTGCTTCAAACCTGCATGGGCTTTTCTGAACATCGAGATGAGCAGATTTCCAGCGAAGGCCAGTCTCAGATATTAGATTTGGGAAGGAGAAGATTTCTTCCTCTACCTCCTACCCGAAATGGCCTGGCGTAAGTAAGGAAGAAGCATCAGAGCTTGGAAGTTCTGGAGATCAAATGGGGCCACCTGGTTTGATCTGGTCCTTACAGTGGGCACTTTGGGATATTAGGACCACCCTTTCAATGTCTCATAGAATCCTACGGCTGGAAGGACCCAGGAAGATCTTGGAGGTCTTCTAATCTAACCCTTTGCCCGAGACAGGTGTTTTCATTCCATCTCAAACGAACACTTGTCCAATCTTTTATGCTAAACCTCCAGCAATGGAGCATTCACAACTCTCCTGGAGGCAAGTCCCAAAGGGGCTTTTTCAGGAGGCAACTGGACTTTCTGGGGGTTTTTTTTTGAAGATGTTTCGCTTCTCATCCAAGAAGCTTCTTCAGCTCTGACAGGATAGTGGAGAATGGAAGGATTTACATTCCTTGCAGACAGCTGGTCATTTGCATCCTTTTAGAGAGACGTCGAGGCCACTCGGAGGTTTGTCTGTGTCCTCAGGGCCACCTGAGTGGTGCAAATGGTTCCTGTAGCTTGCAATTATTTTCTCTGGAAATCCATTCCTACTCCCACACCATTCAAAGGACGTTCATCCCTCTAAAAGGATGCAAATGACCAGCTGTCTGCAAGGAATATACCATATTTTTTGGAGTATAAGACGCACCGGAGTATAAGATGCACCTACCTTTTTTGGTGAGGAAAAGAAGAAAAAGAAATCTCCCTCTGCTTCTGGACAATTTTGCCTCGTTGTAGCAAACAACAAACAGCCTGCTTTACTTTCATTTTCGTTTTCAGCATAGCTTGATTAGCACAAGTGGAAAAAAAAAATCTGCTCCAGCAATTTACCTCCACCAATTTACCTCCTGTGCAGAGCCCTGCACAAAACAGCTGAGAGCAAATCAGCTAAGAGTCGGGAGGCCGATCCAATCAACTTGTGCTAATTAGGCTGTGCTGAAGCTGAAAGGAGCTGTTTCTTCTTGCTGTTTGCTTGCAAGGAGGTAACTGCTGCGAGGCAGAGGCCAAAGGGGAGGGGCCAGTGGATGGGCGGGTCTACATTCGGTTTATTTATTTATTTATTTATTTATTTATTTATTTATTTATTTATTTATTTATTTATTTATTTATTAGATTTCTATGCCGCCCTTCTCCCATAGGACTCGGGTCGACTCACAGAATAAAAAACATATAACAATAAATAAAACTAAAAACATCCAAATGTAAAAACCCCAACAACTAAAATCTCATAACAGATCAGCCATGTCTTCAGTTTGGCGCGGAAAGCGCGGAGGTTGGGGGCCGTCCGAAGCCCGGTGGGTAATTCAATCCAGAGGGTCGGTGCAGCCAGCGAGAACGCCCTCATCCTGGGGGCCACCAGCCAACATTGTCTGGCCGATGGCACCCGGAGGAGGGCAGTCCTATGTGACCGCACTGGGCGGTGGGAGGCTGGTAGGAAGTGGTCCTGCAAGTACCCCGGGCCCATGCCATGTAGGGTTTTATAGGTCAAGACCAGCACCTGGAAGCGGATCCGAAGTGTTGTGGATTAATTAGACCAACACAACTTTTCTGAGTTAATCAGAGACAATGTATATTGCGCAATAGGTTCAAAGCTAGTTTGTACATGAAGCGTTGAACAAAGACAGAACCTCGTTACAATGGTTTTATACCCTTCTAAGACAAAGGATTCTGCTAACACAGCAGTTTATGTGGTCATATACATTTGTTATATTTAATTGACATTTCCTAATTACTAAGTTTCATATTATTCTTTGCCAACAGTCATAATTCTTCTTGTAAATCACTGAAGCATAGATTCAAATTATCTCCTGTTAATATTACATGTAGTCATACTTGATCTCTTTAACCTTCAAACTGTATATCACCAAAATGTCTCTATCTCTCACAACCGAGGGGCCCCTTCTTCTGAATGTTTCTACTTCAAAGGAACTCTCTGCCTTTGTACTGTCTCAACTGAATAAGCATATTTTCTTTCCTATAATACTATGAATAAAGAGGGCCCCTCAGTGATCATTTAGCTGAACCCACTTACCTACATTAGAAGGGCCACCGGGAACCAGTGCAGCTTGCGCAGGAGAGGTGTTACACGGGAGTATGAGACGCACCTAAATTTTCAACCCCTTTTAGGGGGGGGAAAGGTGCGTCGTCTACTCTGAAAAATATGGTAAATCATTCTATTCCCCATTATCCTATCACAACTGAAGAAGCTTCTTGGATGAGAAGCTAAATATCTTCAACGAAAAGAAGAAGAAGAAGGGGAAAAAAAAAACACACCAGAAAGTCCAGTTGCCTCCTGCAAAAGCACCTTTGGGACAACCATGACTTGGATGATGGAAAATCTCTGCAGATTCCTGGAGCCAAGCTGCTCTATTGATTCATTCTTCTCATTAGGAAATTGCTCCAAGGGGGAGATTGCTGGACACTTTCTAAAGATGTTGCACTGTTTAGAGTGAGGTTCTCTCCAGCTGTCACCGACATGGGGTGTGGAAATGGTGTTCATTTTTTACATTCTGTTCTCCAACCACGGAAACAAAAAGATTTTTAAATAGATTGTTTCTGTTCCTGGAGAACAGAAAGTGAATTTAATGCAAGTTCTACAAGCCGTGTCTGTGGTAGAATAGAATAGTGTAGTGTAGTGGAGTGGAGTGGAGTGGAGTTGAATAGAATAGAACAGAACAGAACAGAACAGAATAGAATAGAATAGAATAGAATGCAGAATGGAATGGAATGGAATGGAATGGAATGGAATAGAATAGAATAGAATAGAATAGAATAGAATAGAATAGAATAGAATAGAATAGAATAGAAAGAGATTGGAATAGAATGGAAGGGAATGGAAGGGAAGGGAAGGGAAGGGAAGGGAAGGGAAGGGAAGGGAATGGAAGGGAAGGGAACAGAACAGAATAGAGAAGAAAGAGATTGGAATAGAATAGAATGGAATGGAATGGAATGGAATGGACTGGGCTAGACTAGACTGGACTGGACTGGACTGGACTGGACTGGACTGGACTGGACTGGACTGGATGACTAGAATAGAATAGAATAGAATAGAATAGAATAGAATAGAATAGAATAGAATAGAATAGAATAGAATAGAAAGAGATTGGAATAGAATAGAATGGAATGGAATGGAATGGAATGGAATGGACTGGACTGGACTGGACTGGAATAGAATAGAATAGAATAGAATAGAATAGAATAGAATAGAATAGAATAGAATAGAATAGAATAGAAAGAGATTGGAATAGAATAGAATGGACTGGACTGGACTGGACTGGACTGGACTGGAATAGAATAGAATAGAATAGAATAGAATAGAATAGAATAGAATAGAATAGAATGGAATGGAATGGAACGGAACGGAACGGAACGGAACGGAACGGAACGGAACGGAACGGAACGGAACGGAACGGAACGGAACAGAATAGAATAGAATAGAAAAGAAAGAGATTGGAATAGACTAGAATAGAATAGAATAGAATAGAATAGAATAGAATAGAATAGAATAGAATAGAATAACAGATCTTCTAGTCCTGTGATGGCGAACCTATGGCATAGGTGCCACAGGGCGGCATGTGGAGCCATCTCTGCGGGCACGCGACATGTTTCCCTAGGTCAGCTCCACCACACATGCGTGCATGCCTCCTGCCGTCCAGCTGACTGGTCTGCGGAGATGCCCGTGCATGTGTGTGGGGAACTGGGCGGGGGGCAAGGGGGGTCGTGCGCACATGCACAGGGGGCCGGGGGATGTGGCGCACCCCCCCATGCCCTATTTTGGGCCTAGCAGCCTTCCCTGAAGCCTTCTGGGACCAAAAACAGGCCGGGGAGCACACACATGTGTGGCAGGGGCGGGGGAGCGTGGGGGTGGGGGAGTCAGGCATGCATGCGCAGGGGGGAGGGGAAACACAGGGGGGTGCATATGTATGTGCAGGGGGGCAGGGCACCCAGGAGGCATTGCATTATGGGTGTGGGCACCCGAGGAAAAAAAGGTTAGCCATCACTGTTCTAGTCAGGAAATTTCTCCTTAGTTCTAAATTGCTTCTCTCCTTGATTACTTTCCACTCATTGCTTCTTGTCCTACCCTCAGGGGCTTTGGAGAATAGGTGGACCCCCTCTTCTTTGTGGGAGCCCCTGAGACCCCTGTGGAGTCTCTAACAATGCTTCAAACTCTAAGCACATAGCGCTTATAAGCAGTATCCTGAATGACAGGAAGCGAGCTTCCTGTAATCTTCTCCACTGTCCTCACCCCTCTCTGTATGGACTTTCTATCTGAGGCATTACTGAGTAACTATTGTATCAGCAATTTCTGGTTAAGGCCAGTTTTTAGCGTAGTAGGGGCCCCTGATCCTAGCTCCTACATACAGTTCCCACACTTCAGCCTAGCTCAGGAGATTAGAAATATATTCAGTGTATTTTCTTCACAGACTAGCATGTCTTCTGCAGTTGCTATAAAAACAATAGTCTCTGTTTCCCACAAGGACAGAAGTCGCTATATCTGGGATCCCGAAAACGACTCAGAAAGCTGGACAGGCGTCAGGAGACTCTTTTCATCCTGCAGAGTTGGTGGGGAGGGGCTTCTTTTTTTTTACATCGTGGCAACCAAAGCTGGATGCAAATATTTCAAGTGTGGCCCTTACCAAGGCATTATAAAGTGGTATTAACACTTCACATGATCTAGATCAGTGATGGCTAACCTTTTTGCCATTGTGTGCCAAAAGCGGGGGGAGCACGGGGGAGGGGGTGTCACACACACATGTGCCCTCACCCATAATTCAATGCGCCTCACCCCCCACCGCACATGTGCGTGTGACCCCCCCTGCACTCCCCCCGCTTTTGGCATGCAATGGCATGGTGGGACTGGAAGGCCGGTTTTTCACTCTCCCCAGGCTCCAGAACCTTTCTAGGAGCCTGGGGAGGGCGAAAATGCGCTCTGGAGGCCAGAAATGGCCCATTTGCTGACTTCTGGAAGGCCGAAAATCAGCTGGCTGGCGCACGCATGCCCGCCAGAGCTGACCTAGGGCAATGCTCGCGTGCCCACCAATATGGCTCCGTGTGCCAGCTGTGGCACTCGTGCCATAGGTTCGCCATCATGGATCTAGATTCTATCCCTCTGTTTATGCAGTCCACCCTGCTTACATGCCTTCACCATTTTTAGGTATGAAGGCTTTGTCCTAATCTCACATTGGCTCCTTACATTTAATGGATGGATGGAGGGAGGGAGGGAGGGAGATGTTCCCAGCCAACCAAGAGACATGTGGGAACCAATAATCCCATGTTCTGAAGCTGAGTCTCTCTGACCAAAGACAGTCTGTATTTTCTCTGAGGAACATCAATGGATGTGTTAAGGAATTCGCAGAGTAACCCTTGAGTAGCAAGGGTGTGCACATGAAAGTGATTGAGAGTAGTTACAAATAAACACAGTCACCACACAGATACACTGAATTGTGTTTACTTTCAGGAAATAGTAAGGCACAGTCCAATAAACAGTCCAGGTCATACACATATAAAGCAGAAGGTAGTCAAAACGACAGTCCAGGGATCATCCAATAGCAAAGTCTTCTTACCAGTTGTCGTAGTCATTCACAATAAACAGTTCCTCTGGATTTGCAAACAGTAGCATACAGAGATATCAGAGAGCAAGAACAGCAAAGAGAAACAAACCATGTTTCTAGCTCCCTCTTAAGGACATTGGCTACAGAGCTAACCAATCAGGACACAGTATGATGCAATAAAGCAGTCTTAAAGCTACACTGATGGTTTATATATTGCCAACCCAACAAGTTAGGTAATAATCATTTCCTAACAGGATGTCTCTCCATTTCTCCCTCAGCCGAGCCAATCCAGCTTGTGATTCATGGCCCCCCAGGCAGAGTCACAGCAGGAAGTTGGGCCTTCTTCAATTGCTCTGCAGAGGGATTACACACCTATCCAGAAGTATTCATGTGGCGGAAAGATGGGGAAGCTTTATGGTTTAGGCCCATTACCATTAAGGCTTCTACACAACCGCCTATCACGTACCGAATGGAGACCATGACCAAGCTTGAACAAGGAGATGTGAAATCACAGTTGACCTGCCACATCCAAGAAACTCTCAGGACGGCTCCTCTACAGCAGTCCTTCTCGCTTGGCGATTTCCTAAGAGGTAGGTGAGCTCTGGGTTGTAGAGAACAACGAAGTCATGGAGTCTAGGGGTGGCAGAGGGTCCCCCCACGGCAGAGGGAATGGCACCAGACAAGCCCAGGTTCTTGTCCCATAGAAGTGAACTGCGACCACTCAATCTCAACCCAAGCTACCTCACAGGACTATGGCCGTGGGCAGCCGAACTTTAGAAAGACCTTCCATCTCTGGCTCCTTCCTGAGGGACCAAGGTCAACTTCAGTAGAGTCCCAGATGGTGAAATATATATATATATATATATATATATTACTACCGGTTCTGTGGGTGTGGCTTGGTGGGCATGGTGTGGCTTGATGGGCATGGCAGGGGAAGGATACTGTAAAATCTCCATTCCCACCCCACTCCAGAGGAAGGATACTGTAAAATCTCCATTCCCATCCCACTCCAGGGGAAGGATACTGTAAAATCCCCATTCCCATCCCACTCCAGGGGAAGGATACTGTAAAATCCCCATTCCCATCCCACTCCAGAGGAAGGATACTGTAAAATCCCTATTCCCATCCCACTCCAGAGGAAGGATACTGTAAAATCTCCATTCCCATCCCACTCCAGGGGAAGGATACTGTAAAATCTCCATTCCCATCCCACTCCAGGGGAAGGATACTGTAAAATCTCCATTCCCATCCCACTCCAGGGGAAGGATACTGTAAAATCCCCATTCCCACTCCACTCCAGGGGAAGGATACTGTAAAATCTCCATTCCCACCCCACTCCAGAGGAAGGATACTGTAAAATCCCGATTCCCATCCCATTCCAGGGGAAGGATACTGTAAAATCCCTATTTCCTCCCAATCAGCTGGGACTCGGGAGGCAGAGAATAGATGGGGGCGGGGCCAGTCAGAATTTTTACTATCGGTTCTCCGAACTACTCAAAATTTCCGCTACCGGTTCTCCAGAACTGGCCAGAACCAGCTGAAACCCACCTCATCAGTTTGGCCTTCCAGCCCCTTCTGCATGCAGGAGCCACGGATCTGAAGCTGTTTTCTTTCCTTTTTTAAAAAAATATGTTTTTATTAGGTTTATTTATTTATTTATTTTTATTTATTTTATTAAATTCCTATACCGCCCTTCTCCCGAAGGACTCAGGGCGGTGAACAGCCACAAGATAAAACACATAAATACAAAAATTTAAAATAGATTAAAAACTAAAAATTAAATAATTTGGCTGAATTTAAAATACCCCATACTTTAAAACAAATTAAAAATTTACATTTAAAGAGGGGAGAAGATTTAGGCCAGGCCAGGTTATAAAACATTAAAAAATACAAAAGCAAATAAGAGGACAGGGAGAGGGGAGGGGAAAGAAAAGTGAGGAAGGGTAAGGAAAGAAAAAGAAGCATTGACTTCCGACTCCCTCTGTCACAGTAGAATAAGGCATAGAATAGAAGAACAGAGTTGGAAGGGACCTTGGAGGTCTTCTAGTCCAACCCCCTGTTTAGGCAGGAAACCCTACACCGCTTCAGACAAATGGTTATCCAAATCTCTTCTTAAAAACTTCCAGTGTTGGAGCATTCACAACATCTGGAGGCCAGTTGTTCCACTGATTAATTGCTCTCATTGTCAGGAAATTTCTCCTTAGTTCTAAGTTGCTCCTCTCCTTGACTAGTTTCCACCCGTTGCTTCTTGTCCTACCCTTTACTACCGGTTCTGTGGGCATGGCTTGGTGGGCGTGGCAGGGGAAGGATACTGCAAAATACTCCATTCCCACCCCACTCCAGGGTAAAGATACTGCAAAATCCCCATTCCCTCCCCTGGAAGGATACTGCAAAATCTCCATTCCCATCCCACTCTGGGGCCAACCAGAGGTGGTATTTGCCGGTTCTCTGAACTGCTCAAAATTTTCGCTACCGGTTCTCCAGAACCTGCTGGATTTCACCCCTGTGTAAAACTCAGAATTAAAGTTTCATTCTTTTCCACATCAAGCACGAAGTTCAGAAGCGGTTTCCATGTGGAAATAAAAGTATTTATGTTCTTTTTCTTTAATCAAAGTGGTCAATTTTGCCATTTCAGCCAACTCCATCAGCTTCTGCAACCATTCTTCCGTGGTAGGAATCAAAGTGTCCTTCCATTTTTGCGCATACAATAGTCTTACTGCTGTCAACATATATAATAACGAAGTTCCAAACTTTTTCTCCATTTCTTTTTTCCATTAGACCCAAGAGGAAAAGATGTGGTTTCACATTTATCTCCATTTTCAGGATTTTCTGTCTTAAGATATGAATCATAGTCCCTTTTTTTTCTTTATCATATGTCCACCATAAATGGTAAAAGACACCTTCTTTGTTTTTTACACTTCCAACATATGTTTGACATACCTTTAGACATCTTAGATAACTTCTCTGGTGTTAAATACCAGCGATACATCATCTTGTAAAAATTCTCTTTTAGATTATAATTCAATGTGCATTTTTAAACCCCTCATCCCAGGGGTGAAATGCTCCCGGTTCGGACCGGATCGCTTGATCCGGTAACAATGGCAACTGGTGGTTCGGAGAACCGGTAGCAAAAATCCCTTCCCCCCCCACCATGCCCAGCTGAGCCACACAATCATCAGAGGCTTTTTAAAAAAACTTTTAAAAGCATTTTTTCTACAACCTCTTCCGACAAAAAAATGCTTTTAAAAGTAAAAAAAAAAAAAAAAGCCTCTGATGATCACACAGCTCAGCTGGGATCGTCAGAGGCTTTTCAAAGCATTTTTTTCTGCAACCTCTTGGCCGAAGAGGTGGTACAAAAAATGCTTTGAAAAGTCTCTGACGATCCCAGCTGCCTGATCGGCAGAGGATTTTCAAAGCATTTTTTAAAAAGCCTCTCTCTGACGATCCCAGCTGAGTTGCCTGAGGGGCAGAGGCTTTTCAAAGCATTAGAAAAAATGCTTTGAAAAGTTTAAAAAAAAAAAAGTTGGCCACGCCCACCCCAGTCACATTACCCCACAACCACCAAGCCACACCCATAGAACCAGTAGTAACAAATTTTACATTTCATCCCTGCCTCGTCCACATGTTTTCCCATCGTTCAAGCATCACATTATATCCAGAGGTGGGCTGCTGGGGGTTCGCAGGGGTTCGGGAGAACCTCTAGCTAAGATTCTGTGCAGTTCGGAGAACCCCCAAATTCCACTCCCAGCTGGCCCCTTCCACCCCACTGCTCCCAGGAGTCCCCACGCGACCCGTTTTGGATGCAGATAAGTGCAGGGTGTGCGCGGAGGCTCAGGGAGAGGGAAAACCAGCCTACCGGAGGGCCTCCAGATCCTGGGGAGGCCATTTTCGCCCTCCCAGAGGCTCGAGAAAAGCCTCCGGAGCCCGGGGAGGGCAAAAATGTCCCTCCCATGGTGCAGGAGGCCGACTAGGCCTCGTCCACCATGGACACGCCCACCCAGCAAGCGGACAGAGAATCCCTTGCTAAAATTTTTAAAGCCCACCTCGATTATCCGCACTTTCCGTAAGGCCCTGATGATGTTTTTATTTCAGCAAGCCATCCTGGCCTGAATAGGTTTTATGGGTTAGTTTTTTAATTGTATAGTTTGGGGTTTTAAATTGGGAGACCGATTAATTTAATTTATTTTTAGTTATCTTAACTTTTATATTGTATGTTATTTTAATTTTCGGCTGTTCACCGCCCTGAGTCCCTTCGGGGAGAAGGGCGGGATATAAATTCAATAAATAATAATAATAATAATAATAATAATAATAATAATAATAATAATAATAATAATAATAATAATATCCAAAATTCCTTGCCCACTGAATCATACCATTTGGAAATTTGAATTTGGAAAATGGGCATTAAAAGGGTTTTTAATGGGATTTTTAAATTTTATAGACTTGGGGTTTTAAAATGGGAGGCCGATTGATTTAATCTTTTTAATTATCTTAACTTTTGTACTATTGTATGTATTTTAATTTTGGCTGTTCACCGCCCTGAGTCCCCTTGGGAGAAGGGCGGTATACAAATTAAATAAATAAATAAATAAATAAATAAATAAATAAATAAATAAATAAATAAATAAATAAATGTGAAATTTTGTATGATTCAGGGGGGCTGAAGCTCTTCTGACTTCTGACCTCTTTGGCTCTCTTCTTCGTTCAGTTCCTCCCAAAGTACATCTGGAGATCAACCCACCTTCTCCTGTCCATCCGAACGCCTCAGTGACGGTCACTTGCAACGTAGACAGTTTTTACCCAGATGATGCAAAAGTGGAGTTGTTTTCCATGGATGCTCCAAACAGGAAAGGAACGGTTGCCCCGAGGACCTTAAATACCGACGGGACCTTTTCCCTGAAGACCTCCTTGGAGGTGATGGTCACTGAAGACGGGAATTCCTCGACGTACCTTTGCCAGGTTCAGCATAATTCCCAGCCTCTGGTCAATGAAACAATGACACTCTTCATTATGAGGCAATTTAAAGACGACAGAAGTCGGGGTGGTGATCCAGAATGTAAGTATGGACCTTCAGAACTTTGTTTCTGAGGATTTATTAACATACAACTGGCAGAGTTTCCCCCACCCCCCCATATTTGTTTTATACTATATATAATATAGTATAAAACCTCGGCCGAAGAGGTTGTTTAAAAAATGCTTTTAAAAGCCTCTGACGGTCAGGCAACTCAGCTGGGATCGTCAGAGGCTTTTAAAAGCATTTTTTTCTACAACCTCAAAAAAATGCTTTTAAAAGCCTCTGACGATCCCAGCTGAGCCGCGCGATCATCAGAGGCTTTTCTTTTTACTTTTCAAAGCATTTTTTCGGCCGAAGAGGTTGTTAAAAAATGCTTTTAAAAGCCTCTGACGGTCAGGCAACTCAGCTGGGATCGTCAGAGGCTTTTAAAAGCATTTTTTTCTACAACCTCAAAAAAATGCTTTTAAAAGCCTCTGACGATCCCAGCTGAGCCGCGCGATCATCAGAGGCTTTTCTTTTTACTTTTCAAAGCATTTTTTCGGCCGAAGAGGTTGTAGAAAAAATGCTTTTAAAAATAATTTTTAAAAAAAGCCTCTGATGATCGCGCAGCTCAGCTGGGCATGGGGGGGGCAGGGATTTTTGCTACCGGTACTCCGAACCACCCGCCTCCATCGCTACCAGATCGGGCGATCCGGTCCGAACCGGGAGCATTTCACCCCATGCAGTGGGGACCCTTTAATAGTCGTAAGGCTGCTACTATTGAAGAATGGACATTAAAAGTAGCTAATTTGGCGGAGATGGCTAAAATTTCTGCATATTTGAAGGACCGTTCGAATGAAGGATATGTACTGGAATGGAGAAGATGGATTGAATATATACAAAAGAAATACGGGACTAAAAAGTTGCAAATAGCTTATGAATGAAATATTTCGATGATTTTTCTTTTTATTTCGATATTTTAGTATCTATGGCGGAGTTAAAGAGTAAGGGGAAGTTAAGAGTTTATAGTTAGTTTGCTTATGTTAGATTATGTTTGTTAAGTGCAATACCCTGCATTTTGCTCTGGGAAGTCGGGGGTGGGGGAGGGAGAGGGGAAGGGGTGGGGGAAGGGGGGGAATTTGTTTGTAAAACATTTTAAAACTTTTCAATAAAAAAAAAAAAATAGTCCTAAGCTCAAGAACTGGTGATAAGTCACTTTTTTCACCATTGTAACTTCGAACAGACATCATACGAATAGTCGTAAGGATTGCCTGTAGCTTGAATGAAGATAGCTGATCTCATGCAGGCGAGATCATTTGATTTCAATCGTGATTGGTTATGATGGTTATGATAAATCAAAATAATCCACTGTCTTTTCTCTACAGGCTCACAGCAACAATCCCTCCTTGTTCTCTGCATTGCACTTTTCCTAAGCAAAGCAGCCATCCTTCTTTTCGTGTCTTGCCTCTTCCTAGTAAAAGTGTGTGGACGCAAGAGGACACAACCTCCTTCTGGAACATTCTAGGAAGTGACACAGTCTGGAACTTCAGTTTAGGGACTCCTGCTCCCGACAGATTTTTCAGGATGAGAATGGATCCCTTTAAGACAGTGTTTCCCAAACTTGGCTATTTTAAGATGCATGGACTTCAATTCCCAGAATTCCCCAACCAGTATGCCTGGTTGAGGAATTCTGGGAGTTGAAGTCCATACATCTTCAAAGGGTCAAGTTTGGGAAACACTGCTTTAGGAAATCAATAATAATAACGTTATTAAAATGCTTGTATCATGAGCAGTTCACTCTCCCAAATGTATAAAGTTCTAAGCAGTGGTGAAATGTAAAATTTGTTACTACCGATTCCGTGGGTGTGGCTTGGTGGGTGGGTGGGTGGGTAATGTGACTGGGTGGGCGTGGCCAACTTTTTTAAAAAAAACTTTTTAAAGTATTTTTTCTACAACCTCTTTAGCCGAAGAGGTTGTAGAAAAAATGATTTTAAAAGCCTCTGACGATCCCAGCTGAGCAGTGCAATCATCAGAGGCTTTTTTTTTCTTTTAAAAGCATTTTTTCGGCCGAAGAGGTTGTAGAAAAAATGCTTTTAAAAGTTAAAAAAAAAAGGCTCTGATGATTGCGCAGCTCAGCTGGGATCGTCAAAGGCTTTTAAAAGAAAACCCCCCCTTTTTTTTTCTTTTAAATGCCTCTGACGATCCAAGGCTTTTTTTTTTTTTTTTTTACTTTTAAAAACATTTTTTCTACAACCTCTTCAGCCGAAAAAATGCTTTTAAAGTAAAAAAAAAAAAGCCTCTCATGATTGCGCGACTCAGCTGGGATCGTCAGAGGCTTTTAAAAGCATGTTTTTACTACAACCTCTTCGGCCTAAGAGGTTGTAGAAAAAATGCTTTTAAAAGCCTCTGACGATCCCAGCTGAGCAGTGTGATCATCAGAGGCTTTTTTTTTTCTTTTAAAAGCATTTTTTCGGCCGAAGAGGTTGTAAAAAAAATGCTTTTAAAAGTAAAACAAAAAAAGCCTCTGATGATTGCGCAGCTCAGCTGAGCATGGGGGGGCGCAGGGATTTTTGCTACCGGTTCTCCGAACCAACCGCTGCCAGCTGCCATCGCTACCAGATCGGGCGATCCGGTCCGAACCAGGAGCATTTCACCCCTGGTTCTAAGCCTATAAAACCAAGACAGATATTAAAAAAAATAATAATAACCTTACTTTATTTTGCCATGTCGGTGATTCGAATTTAATGCTGCTTCTTTATTTAAAAAAAAACAACAACAACCTTGAAAACTGAAGTAATTGTTCTTTTGACATATATTTAAATGATTAGGAAAGAAAGATGAAAAGAATTTGCTTACGGAAGTTATAAAGGAGTAAATATAAAATGATAGAAATCCCAGAACTAAGGAGAAATTTCCTGACAGTGAGGACAATTAACCGGTGGAACTGCTTGCCACCAGAAATTATGGGTGCTCCATCACTGGAGGTTTTCAAGAAGAGACAGGACAACCATTTGCCCAGAATGGCATAGGGTCTCCTTCTTGAGCAGGGGGTTGGACTAGAAGACCTCCAAGATCCCTTCCAGCTCTATTTTGATTGATTGGTATATATACTGTATATACACACATACATATATACACATAGCATACATACATATATACATATACACAATATATATACTTGTTCTGTCCCCGTCACACACGCACACACACCAACAGACGTTCAAGAGTTAAAGACCAAACCAGCCGGCAAAATCCTTTTCCTTATGATAACGGAACTTGGCAACAACCTAGTGGCTGCATGCCAAGAGTTTATTACTTACGAAGAGGAGAGATAACTTCTCCCCACTCCTGGTACATCAAAGGAAACAGCTCAATAATTACAGAGTCAATCAAGTCCAGAGATAATCCAGCAAAGTCTATAGCAAAAGTCCGGCAAAGCAGAATGGCGTGGAAGCTTTCAGCTTTGTTCATCACAAGGCTTGACTGGCCACCACGCTCCCTTTTATACCTTGTGGGGTGTGGTCCAGTGACTCAGCCTAATCTCAGGCACGCCTTTTCTTCTGTTGTGAGCGCTTATCTATGTGACGCTGGCGTGGATCCAGCCAAGACTCATTACCCTCATCACTGTCCACCTGTGGCTGCGTGGACATGCTTGGCCCCGGCCCTATCTCTTACCCTTTGGCGGACACCGAAGGCATTGCCAGAGAGGAGGGTCCTGGAGAGGGAGGCCTTGCGAACTCCTATCCTTCACTCTCGGAGTCCTCTCCTGCCGATGACACAGGCTCAAGTAACGGAGCCACAACAATACTGTACATATATATACATACACATATACTCTCTACATGGGGCTCCCCTTGAGGAGCACCCAGAGGCTCCATTGGTCCATAATGCAGCCATGTGGGTGGTTATGGGGGCGACTCGGCGCTCCCATGTAACACCTCTCCTGCGCGAGCTGCACTGGCTCCCGGTGATCTTCCGGGTGCGCTTCAAGGTGTTGGTGACCACCTTTAGAGCGCTCCATGGCTTAGGACCCGGGTATTTATGAGACCGCCTTCTGCCACCGATAGCCTCCCACCGACCAGTATGCTCCCACAGAGAGGGGTTCCTCAGGGTGCCGTCGGTCAAACAATGTCGACTGGCGGCCCCCAGGGGGAGAGCCTTCTCTGTGGGGGCACCTCCCCTCTGGAATGAGCTGCCCCCGGAGATACGGCGGATCCCGGATCTTCGCACCTTTCGTCGTTCCCTAAAGACGTTTTTATTCCAGCAAGCTGGGCTGGCCTAACTCTTTTAATTTGTTTTAATTCTTAAATTGTTAATTATCGGTTTTAATATAGGGGTGTTTTAATTGTGGGCCAAATTAATTTAATTGGATTTTAATACTGTTTTAAATTTTGTATTTCTTGTGTTTTATCTGCTGGCTGTTCACCGCCCCGAGTCCTTTGGGAGAAGGGCGGTATATAAATATATATATATAAATAAATAAATAAATAAATAAATAAATAAATAAATAAATAAATAAATAAATAAATAAATAAATAAATAAATAAATAAATAGATAAATACATACATACATACATACATAAACCTCCATCATCTAATATGACGACAGCAAAAACAACACAGCTAATTACAAGTGGGAGACTATTACACGTGCAATGGCCAAATTGATTAATGGCATATAAAGGCAGAGATCTCTGTAGTGGTAGTTTAATACTCTGACTATGTCAGCAGATGGCTGACGAAAGCTTAGTAGAATAACATTTTAATTATTTTTGAATTTTAAAAGTTTAAGTTCCGGAACTCCGTGTAATTGTGGATATATCCCTAAAAGGGTAGAAGCGACGTTTCGACAGAATCCCATCTGCCATCATCAGGCTTATGTCAGTAGTCTTTTGCACTAACCAGTTACTATATATATATAGTAACCAGTAAAATTTGTTGTGACTTTAACTTCCCTTAGTCTGGTGTCTTCCAGGAACCTGTTGTGTTCGGCTGATAGTGATTTGAGTGTGGTAATTTTCCGGTGCTGTGAATGTGTGAGTGAGTAATCATAAAGTAAATTAGAAAGCACTCGCTAACCTCTTTGTTTTTTGATTAGAGATACAGAATGTGTATGTGTATGTTTTTCAACAACTAAAAGGAGAACCAACGAAGAAAAGAAACAACAAGTTCTCTTTTAACCAGTGTTTTGTGTGTATGTGTGTGTGTGTGTGAGAGAGAGAGAGAGAGACAGAGAGACAGAAATATGAGGGAGAGACAGAGACAGAGAGGCAGAGAGGAGGGAGGGAGACATACAGAGAGACAGAGAGAGAAAGACAGAGAGGCAGAGAGGAGGGAGGGAAAGAGAGAGAGAGGAGGGGGAGAGAGAGACAGACACAGAGACAGAGAGACAGAGACAGAGAGACAGAGCGGAGGGAGGGAGAGAGAGAGAGAAAGAGACAGAGAGACAGAGATGAGGGAGAGAGAAAGACACAGAGAGACAGACAGACAGAACAGAGAGAGAGAGAGAGAGAGAGAGAGAGAGAGAGAGAGAGACAGAGAGACAGAAAGAGAGAGAGACAGAGATGAGAGAGAGAGAGAGACAGAGATGAGAGAGAGACAGAGAGAGACAGACAGAGAGACAGAGACGAGGGAGAGAGAGAAACAGAGACACACACAGAAAGAGACAGACAGACACAGAGAGAGACAGAGATGAGGGAGAGAGAAAGACACAGAGAGACAGACAGAGAGACAGAACAGAGAGAGAGAGAGAGAGAGACTGACAGAGAGAGACAGACAGACAGACAGAAAGAGAGAGACAGAGATGAGAGAGAGAGAGACAGAGATGAGAGAGAGACAGAGAGAGACAGACAGATAGAGAGACAGAGACGAGGGAGAGAGAGAGACAGAGAGAGACACACACAGAAAGAGACAGACAGAGAGAGAGAGAGAGACGAGAGAGAGAGAGAGAGAGAGATGAAGGAGAGAGAAAGACACAGAGAGACAGACAGACAGACAGAACAGAGAGAGAGAGAGAGAGAGAGACTGACAGAGAGAGACAGACAGACAGAAAGCGAGAGAGACAGAGATGAGAGAGAGAGAGAGACAGAGATGAGAGAGACACAGACCGATAGAGAGACAGAGACGAGGGAGAGAGAGAGACAGAGAGAGAGACACACAGAAAGAGACAGACAGACAGAGAGAGAGAGACGAGAGAGAGAGAGAGAGAGAGAGACAGAGAGAGGGAGAGGAGGAAGGTAGGGTGTGGGGGGGAGAGAGAGATTGTGTTAGCAAACGGAAGACCTGTGATTAAATTTACTTATTTTCTCTACGCATGTTTGATAATTGGGCTGCTTAATTAAAGTACCAAACCCATCTGTCAGTCTTCACACGGATGATGATGCATATAAGTATTGAAAGATTTTTTTTTAAATCTTTTCTTTTTTTAAACTCAAATCTGATTCTATTTTCCTCTTGAGAAATTGCTCCAGCCTCCTCCGATAAAGAGGAAAGAGAGGATAGCCCTAACCACAAATTTAGTAACATTTCACCGCAGAATTTAGTTCCGTTCTGATTGAAGATTTACTTCTAGGAAAGAGGCACGGTGTGGCGGCCCTGTTTTCCTGACACACCCGAACAATTGAGGGGTG